TTACATCTACCCTAATTAAAATTATGTTTTACTTTAATATGATTGTATTATGATACTTATAGTAATGATTGTTTGCCAAAATGTGGAGATAGTATTTTTGTAGGTATAGAATAATGTGAAGATGGGAATAATAATCCTCATGATGGATGTTATTAATGCCAATACTAATGTCATGAAATGTGCAAAAAATGCTAAAAAGGGTAATGTTTAGAATATTATAAGGGATATTATTTAAATGGGCAATAATGCTTAACGAAATGTGGAGATGGTATTCTTAATTCAACTTAGTTTAAATATTAGCAAATAAAAATAAGAAATAGATGTTTGAATAACAATATTAAAATTGGAGATGAATTGTGTGATGATTAAAATTATATAGAAAGAGATGGTTGTACGTTTTGTGAAATTGATCCTTTTTATAAATGTGAGGAAGATTTAAACTTATTAAGTCTATGTTATAGATGCTAGATAATTGTGAAGTTTGTATATTAAATACAAATATAGTTGAGTGCAAACGATGCAAAAGTGGATATTCCTTAAACATAATACATGCAATTCATGTTCAGATAAGTGTGAAGAGTGCATCGATACTCCCAACAATTGCACGGTGTGCTCAACAGATGGTTGCACAAGATGTGACATTATATCTGGGTTTTATTTGGATAAATATCTAAAATCATGTGTTACGAAATGTGGAGACAATATTATTGCTGGAAATGAATAATGCGATGATGGAAATAGAATAGATAAAGATGGATGCAATTCTAGATGCGAGATCGATAAAGAATTTATTTGCAAAGAGAACATCTGCTATGTTCCACCTTAGAAAAAAATTAGTCTAAATTATTCAAACTCAACCACTACAAGTGATTTAGAGTTAATATTTGAGGATCTTATGATAGATGATATTTGTGAAAAATTGAAGATTCGAATAGAATTATTTAAATCTCATGATTTTAAATGTGAAATTAAGAGGAAAGATAACTAAAATTAAACCTAATATGCTACGTGTGAAATTAAATTTAATTTCTTTAAAACCATAGTTGAATCCAACCTTATCCATATTGTAGTACCATTGAAAGATAACTTAACTAGATTACTTGAAGAAGAAACTAGGGAAATTGTAATTTCTCCCAGAAGATTCACTTATTATAATCAAGAATAAAAAGCTCAAGCTTAAAATATTGTAAAAGCATCTTCCACCTTTACATTTCTACTTTAATTTATTGGACCTTTAACAATTCTTCTTGGAGGATTTGTACTTTTTTTGGTCGATTTTAGATGTAATGACTTGGATTAATAACCTTTTATTTTATAAATGTAGATTTTCCTAAGAATGTTAAGTTATTTTTCAAAAGGTTTTAATTGGATTAAGTATTTAATATTCCTAATTTTTTCACATTAAATTCTCCATAAGATCCATATTATTTTGAAGCACCTGCTAAATTTACTGAAAAAGATGTTAATCCTTTCTAATTATTTTGTGAATTCATTTTATTAGCAATTTTAGGCTATATTTTCTCTACTTGTATAATGTCAGCCATTTAAATTAGATAAAAATCAAATCGCATCATAACGAATAAAATGAAAATTTTTTCAGTAATTGAGATCAATAAAAGTGTTGAAACAAAATAACCTCAAAATTAAAAAAGCAAATAACCGCCCTATTTAATTCTTTTTTATATCTAGAATTACTATGGTTTACAGAGAATTTTAGAGCTATATTACTTTAAATTGTTGGATTAGTTTTTTTGGATATTTGTTTGGCTTGTGCTCTTTAATTAAAATATACAAAAAATTCAGAGTATGCTATTATTTATTTGAATTTTGCTTTAGCTGTTGTTGGAGTACTTTTTATATACATAGTGTTTTAAATATATTCATTTGTCTGTTCATTACATTAAATTCTATATGAAACATAAAGGTTTAAGAATAATTATTCTTCTTTATATGAAGACATTAATACCAAACAATCATTAGGTAGGAATTATTGTTATGTAAATTTAATTAGAAAAACCTTTTTATATTTTTTACAGTTTACTTTTATGAAGTACCTTTGTTGTAAACTGCGTTTTATTGTTTAACCTGTTTTTTAAATCTAGCTTTGATTTTCTATTAGAATCCATTCGAAAATAGGAGGTTGCTAATATTCTCATTAGTAAATGATTTTTGCATATTTATGATAATTTGCATTACTGTGTTATTGGCTATAGATGATGTTAGCAACATATTTTCATTTGATGAAAAGTATTTTATTGGATGGATAATATTATTTTTCGTTGGGCTCTCAATATTTGTGTAGGCGATCTTTATGGTTTAATAGCTATTTTAGGGAATGTAGATGAGAATTAAAAATTTAAAGAATTTCTTATGTTATTAACCAAATTAACAGAATTGATTATTAATTTTTTTTGGCATATTTTTCTAATATATATATATATCTTTGAGAATAAAAGAGAAGGGAAAGTGAAGGAAAAATTATAGTATTAATACATTCTTTAAAGGGTTTGGGGTTGGGGTTGGGTTTGAGGTTGGGGTTGGGGTTGGGGTTGGGGTTTGGGTTTGGGTTAAGCTCCGTTGAAACAACCATGCAGTTCTATTGTTCCCTGGCTATTGTGGTGA